ATATACACTTTGACTTTCAATCAAAATTTTACAGTACTACCTAACTCATAAGCACAAGTACTAATCCAACTGTTATGAGACCTGCAACACTTGGCTTGGTTAAATGCATCTTGTACCATAAAATTATGCATCCACGTGACTCACAAGCATAAGTCATATTCATCAACACAATGCATCTCATTTCTTAAACTAATGCATCTTACACATAATATTTATGCATCATTAAATTGTTTTGTATCAAACTGAATTAAGGACAAGTATTGCATCTTACAACTCCATATGTTGCACCTAACTTCTATCAATATTGAACCAATACTATGCATCACACTGTTATCACACTTTCATTTTCACTTAACTGTAAATGCATCTTGTACTATAAAATTATGCAACTACATCACTAACTCATATATATCAAAATAGTGCATCTCATTTCTTAAACTTTCGCAATTTAAACATAATACTTATGCGTCATCAAATTGTTTCGCATTCCAACTACAATAAACACAACTAGTGCATCTTACAACTCCACATGTTGCACCTAACTTCTCTCAACATTGATCCAATACTATGCATTGCTGTTATCACACTTTCATTTTCAATTAACCTTAAATGCATCTTGTATCACACAATCATGCATACACATGACACACAAACACAAGACATTTTCATTACAATTATGCATCTCAGAAATTAAACATCTGCATATTCACTCTAATACAAATGCATCACACATCCTTCTTACATTCCAAGTGCATTAAGCACAACAAATGCATCTTACAACTACACGTGCTGCAAAGAAACTTGTTTCAACTCTAATGTGACTATAATTAAACCAAATAGGTTTGTTCATTTTTTAAATCACAACAATGCATCTACATTTCACAATTTTGCATGTTTTGTCTTAAACATTTGCAGTTCTTTTGTCTGATAATTGTATTAATGATCATCAAGCTCCATTTGCATTTGTGTTGATATAACGGAGAGATGAAAATGACTACCTTCATCAAACACCAAGCCTTCATTGCACTCAACGTCGCTTAAAAATCTTCGAAAACCTTTCTCCAGGCTTCGAACAACTTGCTCCAGTCTTCGACCGAGTTGCTTCCTCTGTTTGTATGTTCTGCAACTTACCTTTTTTCACGTTGGTATTCGTGGCCAGTTACCTTCTTAGTGGATATTAACCGTAAAGTTAGGGATTTCTAATGTTAATCCCAATTTTGATTTCGGCGGTTTTGTTTTGGAAATCTAAAATTACCTTTGTGACCTTTTTAAATGCGTAAACATTTCAAACCGTGGACTTTGTTTCATCCCCTGCATCTCAGTGCACAGTTTAAACAATGCAGCCCATACGTATCAGCGGTCCGTTTTAGCCAATCTAACGGATGTCGTTAGTTTGTAGTTTGCACTGGAAGCTTGGTTTGTATGGGATCTTGCCCCTATATATATATATATATATATATATATATATATATATATATATATACACACACATATACATATATATATGGGAGAACTATCAAATAAGCCCTCGAACTTTCATAAAAAGTGCAAATAAGCCCTTTAACAGGAGGCTTTGTCCGGCTGTCACCATTTGGGGCTGTTTCCGGTGGAATTTTTTGATGTTTTTTTAGAATCTTCTTCATTAAGTCTAGTTTAATCATACCAAATTTCAGCTAAAAACTCAATTGAGAAGGTAGTCAAATGATTTTCTGAAACATATTGCGCTGTCTAACTGCGCAGTTATCTTCAAAAATTCATTTGACTGCCTTCCTGATTGAATTTTTAGCTGAAATTTGGTATGAATAAACTATACTTTATCAAAGGAGTAGATAAGGTGAAGAAAGTAAAACTTCAAAGTCTTCGAGGTGAGTTTGAATCTTTTAACATGAACTCTTCGGAATCTATTGAAGACTATTTCTCAAGAGTTCAAACCGTCGTCAATCAACTAAGAAGATATGGAGAAGAAATCAAAGACAACCGTGTGGTTGAAAAAATTCTTCGATCTTTAGATTCAAAATTCGATTACATAGTTGTGGCAATAGAAGAATCTAAAGATCTAGAAACAATGACAGTTGATAATCTTTTGGGTTCTCTTCAAGCTCATTAAGAAAAACTCAAGAATAGAATAAAGCAAGAGCCATTGGAGCAAGCCCTTCAAACCAAGCTCTAGAAGAAATAAATTCTAGAGCTTCTCTAGAAGATATGGTCTCTAGAACTCTCCTATCATTAATTGTATAGAATTATCTAGAATGCATTAATTATAGAAGAGTCTATATGCTTTTGTACTAGTATAAATATAGCTCCTCTACCACCAATTTGAATCAAACAAATCAAGCAAATTGAGTTGTTCTAATAAAAAGAGTTATTCCCCTTTTTTCAAATATCTCTTCTATAATACTACCTCCGTCGCAATTTACTTAGCCAAACTTGACTTTTCAAGTCAACGTCCTCTAACTTTGACCAATTATTTAAGCTAATATATTTATGCAAAATTTAATAATTTAATACTTTTATGATAGTGTTTTTAACAAAGAACATTTTCATATCATTTTCATATTATCAATATTTTCTCTATATAAACATTTAATCGGTCAAAGTTAGACGTCGTTGACTTGAAAAGTCAAGTTTGACTAAGTAAATTGGGACGGAGGGAGTATTTCTAATTTAGCCTCCCAATTTTCCAAATCTTTCTTTCTTCCTTTCTTCCTTTCTGAGAGGGAACTACATGTGGCTCCAGGCCGCACTCCAGGAGTTCGTATATAGTGCATCTGGGTGTACGTACACCCAGCCCAAGTAAGAAAGACGGTCCAATCATTAATACAGGACAAAAAAAATTCGGTGGCATATTTGTAATTTAAGCGAAAATTCACGGATTCCGCTAAATGAGCAATAATGTAATTGTAATGAGCATCCGACCTATCTTTTGGAGTATGTAAGAGGCTAACAATGAGTTTCACGATCCCTGCTTCACATCTTCTAATTTTTTTTTCTTATTCTTATTTTTTCTTTTATAAGAAATTATTAAATTATATCTATAATACACTCTTATCAATTTCAATATGATAGTATAATGTCATATGATACTTTTGAAATATACATTGACACAACATTTAAAAAATGAGCATAACATCATACCAAATAAGCATATGTAACTTACGAAATGCGCATTGATAAGAAAATCGTAAAGATTGTTTGTTGAACATCATGACATTTTCATTGAGCATCAAAACTCATATCTCGATATGAAAATCACAGTTTATGTAAAATGAGTATTAATGAACTTTTAATGAGCATCCGACCTATTCTATTGAGTATTAAGAGTCTAATATTGAGCATCGTGATTTCTGCTTCGTAACTTCTAATTCACTTTCGGTGAGCATCAAGCCTCCATTATTGAGTATTTGAATATGTGATTGAGTATCATGATTTCTTGTCTCGTGTTTATAATCAACTCTTATATAAATGTAATGTAATATGAGACTTTTGAAATGTGCATTGCCAAAACATTTTAAAAATGAGCATAAGAGAGATACTAAATGCACATACATAATTTACAAAATGAGTATTCAAAAATTGAAAAGTTCATTTGTGTATGTTCATTTTTTTAAGCGGTTTACTCATTTCAGTGTAAGGTAAAACTCATTTCTAATGTGCTCGATATAATATATAAAAAAGAGAAAGAGGTAAAACAAATAAAGAAAAGAAAAGAAGTAAAAAAACAAAGAAAATAAGTAAAGAAAGTAAAAGAAAAAGACAAACCCAAAGAAAGTGAAAGCAAACACTAAAAAAAGTAAAGAAAATAAAAAACAAAAAGACAAAAAACCTAACAATCAGAACCACTACAAAAAAGTAAAGAAAATAAAAAAACAAAAAGTAAACAATGATAAGAATCGATGACGACGGAAGAAAGGAAATGTGGAAGGCGGCGGAAAAGAAAGAAAAGTGAAAGACCGCACAAGAAAAGAAAGTTCATGATGAAGGCGCTGAATCTCTCAAACCTAGTTTGGCCACCCATAGTTGTGTGATTGGAGAAAGTTATTACGAAGTATAAATTGGAGTGATACTCCCAGACAGGAAAAATGATTCGTAGTCTGAAGATGACAACATAGTTTTGAATATTCCTCCTTTCACTCTACTTTTTTCCTTGTCCAGTGGCACAGCAATGATGGGTGTGGATTAAAGTGTGTCAATGGTTTCAGTGATTATATTAAAGCTACACTTTAACTGTTAATTGTACATCCACAGCATCTGCTTAGAAGTTAACTGACCCTTAAGTTGCATCCATTTGGCGCCTGTCAAGGATTTGGGTATAACGATGAAGGCACCAGCTGTCTACCTAGTGCTGGTGAATAAGTATTTATTACTCCAACATGTATGTATGAAGTTATTATAAAGAGCCTCCTCTTTAGTACGTCACATAGATAAATGCATTACGAAGTATTAGAAAATTTTCCCTGCTCACCATCCTTCACTTGACTCCTTCATCTTTCTATTTTCAATGTGTCTATGAAGCTTGTTTCCGTGATATCGTTTCCAGAAATGAAGTTAAGGAAATCACTGAAGCTTCCTTCTCTATAGAGTAATTGGTTGTTCTCACCCACAAGTTGTGGTGCAGGTCCTACTTTTTTATCCAAATCCAGACTGTGCAAGCTAGCAATTGAAATGCGACTCTTCTCTGAGTTCACTGTAGCTCTGTGGACGACTGCCTTGTATTTCCCATTGCTTAGTACTTCCATTTGATCTCCTAGTTGGACTATTAAGACCCCATCCATAAGTGGGACTGGATTCCATATCTTATCTCGGTCCAGGATTTGAAGGCCTTGCTGGTTTTGAAGTAAGATTGAAAGCAAACTGTAATCCGTATGAGGTGGCAAGCCTAATGCAAGTTCTGGTTCGGGGCACACTGGATAGCAATTTACAGCCATGACTTGGGAGCCGTCCTCAATGTCTTCTTTTAAGTAAGTAGGTTGTAACTCTAAACTTTCGAATATTAGCTCCATTAGCGTCTTTTGTAATTCATGCACTGCCTCTGCATAGTTTCCCATTTGCTCCCTGTATTAGAGAAGTTGTGTTACGTGCTTGATGATTAATGACAATGCTGAGGATAGTTACATATGTGACGAATTGAATGCTGACAATGATTTCTGCATGCATCTTAGGCTCCATTTGTTTCCATGAAGTTTTATTCCTGGAAATGTTTTCTGATTTTCCATTACAAAACATATTTTCCCTGAAACAATAGATTTCCCAGAGCGGAGATATTTTCCTTGGTTCTTTGCGGCTGGCTCGGGATATAGAAAGTACCAGGGGAATAAAATATGGAGTAAAATTGGAATAGGACATAATTTGTCCTAATTCTTTATAGATAGTTTTTAAGCTTATTTTATGTATTTACTAATGTCTATGATATAAACACTAAAAAATACGGAGTATATAAGTATATGAACATTTAAAAAAAAACTATCATGTTTTATTTTTCAAAACAATTTTGTACTGAATCACGTAGACTGCAGCGGGAAGCAGGGGTATCACATGTTCACAACAACACGTCATGAAAACATTCATTTGAGTCCATAGGGGAGTGAGGTGCCAATAGGAATCAAACCCTTGTGTGGTATCTGAGATAGGGAGGATGAATTCCACTAAGCTACAACCTATTGTCCTATTGGCATAGATGGACATTTTCCTGAAAGACTTGAGTTTTCTTCTTTTGTGTATCAAATATATTTCTCCCTCCATTTACATTTACCCACCTTAGTAGGGTTTTTACGGAAAATACAGGTAATGTCATAGCGATAGTGAATAGTGTATAAAAGTGAAAAGGAAGAAGACAAGATGAAAGAATGGGAGAGCATGCATGGGTTGTTGTGAATGAAAAATGATATAAAAGCTCACCTGTAGCATGCAGGGTTTGAAGGCCACAAATCAATCCATTCAGAGATTGGATTGCAATACTGTTTGATGAAGTCTCTCCAGAAGTGGACTCTATCTTTGACATGGTTAAGACTGGTGCCATATCTCACTGGTTTCCAAACATCATCTGACATCAGCTGCATTTTTTCTTCACTTGACATATTAAAGAATGCCTTTGCTGCATCTAAGGCGCCATTTATTACTGAAGGTGGGATGTTGTGGTTAATGACCTGCATGTGATGCATTCAATATGTTTACATTGTTACATTGGTCTGGAGCTATGATGCATGCCGTAGATGTACAAGTTTCAATTGCTGGTACCAATAATACTCAAGATGAAGTATGCGGCATGCGTTTGATTTGAGAAAAAAAAACGCTATTGAAGAGGTGGATAACAGGGTAAAGAAGCATAAGCACACCATAGACACAAATGATTAAAATTAGTTATCATTATGAATTCATGACACTTTTACACTTTTACACTTTTACACTAGGTAAATAAGCATAAGCACTTTGACACTTTTTTACATTAGATGTCTTCACTGCTTACGAAAGAACAATGCAATGAAACAGCATAGAAAGTATCATGAGGCAGCAATATTGTTGAGATTTGGTTTTATACTCAAGTTCTAGTCCAACACCATTGCTATCTAAGATGCTTGGACATACCTAGGTATGGAGGCAGGACTCACCGAGATCAAAACTTGCATGAGACGCGTACTGATAATAATTTGCATGTAAAAAATGACTGCGCTTGGGACCCTGGTGGGATCCCGCTTGCTCCGCCTCTGCTTTGACATGTTTTCTCCCTAGAAGACACAACGAGTCTCTTGCTGTCATATATGCCTATGGTTTACTTCAGAATTTTATATATTACAAGTAGGTTTGCACGTACCTGGAAGAAACCGAAATCTTTGCAGGCAATACCGACTTTCTCAACAACCTGAGAGCGAAGAAGAGGATGTTTCAAGGAGGAAAGATCAATGAGGGGCAAGTTATGGTTAGAGGGATGGGTGGTGCTTAGGGTGCAGTCTGGGCGTTGTGACGGTGGGACTACATAGCTTTGCGGGAGATGGTTTAACCCGCTTTGAGTAAGTGTTGTTGCACTAGTGAATGGAGTTCCTAAAGGAGAGCTCTGCATTTTTTTCAGTGTTAAAAACTTGGTAACTAGCCACTGCATGCCAGATGTTTTATGTTCGTCTCTGTGTTTATATATACGAGCATAATAAGTTTTTTTATGTGCATTTAAGTGTCAAAGGATCATGTCTCTTTAATATAGTTTAATTGGATAGATTGAGTCATTGAGGTAGTCCTCTTTTTTCTTTTTGTCATAAATGAAAAGGCAATTAATACGATTTTATGCCTACTTGAAGCATGGGGAATAGTCTTTGCTGAGGTCAACAGCAACTTGAAAACCGACTCAGTATTTGGATCCGGGTGGGTTCATAACCTATAACCACGATACCGCCCACGGCAGTGGAGGACCTAGTGGGGGGGCTAAGGGAGGCATGTGCCCCGCTTTGGGTCCCGAATTTCACTAGTACCACTTAGGTAAAAATCACTGTCTACGCTTCATACTAATATTTGATAATTAAGATACTAAAATGTTACAGTTATATAATAAAAAATTAATACAAAATATTTAAATTTTAGCTGAATTAAAATAAAAGATATAAAATTATCGAAAAACAAAAAAAAATTACTAAGGGTCGAAAACAACAAGTAACAAAAAAAGTTAAAATGCAAAAAAAGTAGCTACAATGTGCAGGCAGCTAAAACTATTAAAAGTCTAAAAACAAAACCCACTAACATTTGGAAGACTAGAATGAAAAAAGTGGAAGTTCTACAAAAATAAAACCTGACGGACAGTTTACGAATTACGAGTTTAGGGGATGTCGCTGCCTTGGCTCTGGTCTCTGCGGATTTCGCTGTCTTGCTGAATTGGCGCTGCACCGCCGCACCGCTCAATCGTTCCATATTTCCTTGATTTGTAAGTTTGTTTCCAATATCTCGTTGCCACAAGGGTTTATTTTAAAAATTAAAATCATTAATAATCAAGAATATTGAGGATTATTTGTTTACTTGAAATTTGATAGTTCGAATTTGTGAATGCGCTCTAATTAGGGATTATGGTTCTAATTTGTAAAAGTTTTTCTTTTAATTTAGTGAAATAATTAGGATGCGGACATTGATTTAATTAGATTTAATTGTATTTGTCTTTTTTATTAGGAAAATGAGTTTGGATAAATTTGTCTTGCGATGGAGAATCGCTTTAGTGAGTCAAACACAGAATTACTCATTAGTTTAGCATGTCTTGATCCTAGAGATAAGTTCTCCAATTTTTGTGCGTCAAAGCTACTAAATCTTGCGGAGTTATATTCATGCGATTTTTCATCTGTTGATCGAATGGAGCTGAAAGATCAACTCCAGGTGTGGATATATGAAATGAGAAAAAATGAATTATTTTCTGTCGTACAAACTATTGGTGAAGTTTGTAAAAAGATGGTTGAGCTTAAAGTTCACAATTCTTTTCACTTTGTATATCGTCTGATTGAGTTGACTTTAGTATTACCAGTTTCAACAGTCACCTTTGAAAGGGCCTTCTCTGCGATGAATATTCTCAAGAAAGATCTTCACAATAAGATGAGAGATGACTATCTTACGGATTGCTTGGTGTGCTACATCGAGAGAGATGTTTTTAGAATCATTGATAATGAAACTATTATGCAACATTTTGAGAATATGAAAAGTCGTAGGCTTGATTTACCAAAGTTGCAATAATGAACTATATAATACTTTTGGAACAGCCCGATAGTATGTAATTAACTATTCCATATAGTTTAATACATTTTTTTACCATTTTTATTACATTTGGAGTTTTTATTATAGATTAAGTTTAATGTCTAGTGTGCCCCGCTCTCACAAATCTCAAGGCACGCCACTATGCATGTTAGAATCCATAGGAGGTTAGGATCCGGGTCACTCAACTGTGTAATACATTAAAAGATGAGATTCAATTAGGGTTGGATTCGGTTCGGGCCACCCGGCCCGTGACCCGGCCCGGCCCAGTACTGTGCGGGCCCGGGACCGGCCCGGTCGGGCGGTCCGGGACCGGGTATGGGCCCGAACCGGGGGGAAGGGGCGGGGCGGGCTCGGTTCAGCAGTTTTGTGACCCGGCCCGGGCCCGGGTCCGGGTCTATTTTTTTTAAAAAAACTTTTTTTTGTTTTTTGGCTACTAGCCGTTGAGGCCTTGGGGTGGGGCTGGGGACAACCCAAACGGCTATATAGCCGTTGGGTGGGGTAAAGGGGGGTCCGGGGGGGGTGGGGGGTAAAACACATATTTCAGTAAAGTGCACATGTACTTGTTCAATTATGCACTTTTATTAAATTTCTAAAGCATTCGGAAAACACATACTCCCTTTGTTTCACAATCTTTGACACACTTTCCTTTTTTGGCTGTTTCACAGTCAATGCCACACTTCCTTATTTCCTTATTTGGTAAACAAATCTTTACCAAAACAGTGCAAAACAGTGTCAAACAGTGCCAAACAGTGTTCAAACAGTGCCAAACAGTGTTCAAATAGTGCCAAACAGTGTCAAAGATTGTGAAACGAAGAGAGTATATTATTGCAGAGATTTTGTATCAAGTGTGCATTATTGGTAGTGCACGTCAACATTTTTGTATTCTTTTATTGAGGACAAGTGCACCCTTCATGATTTGAAAGTGCAAATTGATTGGAATAGAAGTGCAATGTAACACCCCTAAATTTCCCGTCCAAAACAATGATATATTTAAAAGAAATACTTTATTCATTCATCAAAGAGTTGAAGAATTACAGTGGAAGTCTAAAATAGGGAAATGGGTATTACCGCCACATCCAGTCATCTCTTAACCGAATGCACAGGCAAACCAAAACAAAACAATAAAGACTAATAAATAAATGTTTATTTAGAACTAAGTTCGACTAAGGTAACTTCTAATTCACTCTAGACGCATGCATTCAGCAATCAACATGACCATCATCACCTGCACAATTAAAGTGCAGAAAACAAAACAAAGAAAAGGAAACAAAAATTAGCTTTAGAGCTAAGTAAGTACTACCAACCCCGTAAAATAATCAGCTTTGACTAAAATAGATTTTTATATAATATTATATAAAAATGACGCACTCCACCAAAATACTTTTCTCTTTGATTTTTCTTAAAATCACTTCTTTTCTAAAATCTTCAACTTCTCTTGGAAAATATCATAGTAATTCTTCTCTTTAGATTTCTTAAGAAAATCACTTATTCTCTAACTTCCTAGTAATTTAGAAGGGTGGTGCTCAGCCTTTTGACTGAGCCCGGTGGACCGTGGTTACGGATGGCCACCCCGAACAAGTGCCGGTACCACAACTGCTCTTGCGGAAACGAAACGACTACCTTAAGTGTGCACACCCCTAAAAGGTATTCCAAGCCCTCCGAGTAGTAAGTCATCCCGAGTGGTCGGAACCCAACCACCCCACCTCTAAAATTCTTGAATGATTAGGGACTACTACTATAACTTCTTCTTAAAAGGGATCATAGATCCAAATGTCACTTGTGTTGGATGTGTTTCGGAAAATAAAGAAAATTAATTAAAATAAAATAATTAAATAAAATGACTAGAGAAAAACAAGAAAGGAGATGAAGCAAAATTAGTCAAAGCTCGTGCTACGCACGATTTCCTTAAAACGTATTTGTTGCCTCCCACGGTGCTAGGAGCGTTGCAACAATCGTTTCCCAGGATACGATGACTACGAACTAATGTTTGAGCACACAAACAAGAGTTCCAGCGAACGAGAACCAAGTATGAACACAGAAGGAATTTTGCAGAGTAGCTGTAGGTGCTTTTAGCTCAAGAAATTCGTGAGAAAAGTATTGTGCGTTGTGTGAAACCTTGTGTTTGTTGCAAAGCACCTGCCAGCTATTTATAGGAGGATTTGTTGTGTGTTAAATGGGGTGTTAATGGACCTGAACGTTGGACATCAATGACCACTCCGTTGGGCATTGAATCGTCCATAAACTGTCCATTTAACGCAGCATTAAAAGAGAAGAACGTTGGGCATTAATTGTTGTAAAGGAAGAAATGCGCGACAGAAGACCCCTTGGAGGGTTTCTGTCCGAAGCCAGCAGAAGACCCCTTGGAGGGTTTCTGTCCGAAGCCAGCAGAACACCCCTTGGAGGGTTTCTGTCCGAAGCCAACAGAACACCTGTTGGAGGGTTTCTGTCCGAAGCCAACAGAACACCTCTTGGAGGGTTTCTGTCCGAAGCCAGAAGAACACCCCTTGGAGGGTTTCTGTCCGAAGCCAACAGAACACCTCTTGGAGGGTTTCTGTCCGAAGCCAGCAGAAGACATGTTGGAGGGTTTCTGTCCGAAGCCAGCAGAACACCTCTTGGAGGCCTTCTGTCTGTAGCGTATCTCTGGAGAGATATATTTTTGGACGGCATTCGTGTCCGCAGGTCGCCCGCGCACACGAGTCGCGGTTTTTCTTCTCCGTTTCGGGATTTGATCGGCACCCCCCCCTGCGCGTAAGAGAGAGCCTTTCCCTTTAGGAATCTTAACTCCTTAAAAGAGGCTTCCCTTTATAAGGGGGTGAAAATACCTTGAGTTTTTCGGTGTGGGATAAAACACACTAGAAACTCATCATTTTTCCCAGTTTTTCCATTTCAACGAGTGAACTTCGAGAATCAATTTCTCATTCACCCGTTATCCGTTTTGAGTGTACCACATATCGAATTGTAGCCCTTAACAAGGACAATCCGAAACCACTTCGACCCGACCCAAATCGGAAGTGGACCCCACTCAAATAATTGCCCCAAAATGACCATTTAATGCAATTTTTAACACATTTTTCCAACAATCCCCCACATGAATGAAAATTGATTTTCGAGACTTAAAAGACACGAAGATAGGAGGACACGTTGTGTTCACCGGATGATCCTTGCATACGGAGAGGTAGGTTTTATCCTTTGAACCTTCCGTTGTAAAGACACGTTTATTTACTGGCTGTCTAGTAGACTCGATGTCCTTGAACTATACTGCCGTCATGTAAACATTGACTTATCTTTACACAAGAACCTTCCAACTTTGTTCCGTTCTCATGGGTGTGCCCGTTTTGGCCATGGGTCACCGTCCTGGTTCTGCAAGAGTTTCTAAAGAACTGGGCCTTTACAGTTCTCCTTTGAAGCGGCCCTCTTCTCTCTCACATAGGTGATTCTTTCACGAGTATCCCACATACTCTTCCAATGTTATCGAGTAGATCAACATTTTAGAATCATTAAAGCAAACGTTTTTGCTAACCTCGTGCGGGAGTCACTGTTTTAACGAGGTGTGGGTAGGAGTCCGGGACCCCCACAGTGACCATCATTCGCTCTATAATTTTGTTGTCCCTTTTGAACCTAGGACCAACTAGGTTGGGTATCCACTATAGAACTTTTCAATTCACGGGCTTTAGTCCCATTCCTCGTGACAACTTCTCCAACAATTCTCTATCCAATGCCTTGGTTAGCGGATCCGCTATGTTATCCTTTGACTTCACGTAGTCAACAGTGATAACACCCGTTGTGAGGAGTTGTTTAATGGTGTTATGTCTACGACGAACGTGTCTAGACTAACTATTGTAGAGATTGCTCTGTGCCCTTCCAATTGCCGCTTGACAATCGCAATGTATGCATATTGGAGGGACAGGCTTCTCCCAACTTGGAATATCCTCGAGAAAATGGCGTAGCCATTCAGCCCCTCCCAAAGTGCACTTATCCAAGGCTATTAGCTCAGATTCCATCGTGGATCTAGCTATTAACGTTTGTTTCGAGGATTTCCACGACACGGCTTCACCTCCCAAAGTGAAGACATATCCACTTGTGGACTTAGAGTCCTTTATGTCGGATATCCAACTAGCGTCGCTATACCCTTCAAGTACAGCTGGATATTTTCCATAGTGCAGTCCAAGGTTTTGGGTTTTACGTAAATACCTCAAAACCCTTACTATTGCCTTCCAATGTTCATCACCGGGGTTGCTAGTATATCTACTTAGCTTACTAACCACAAAGGCAATATCAGGCCTAGTACAACTCATTAGATACATCAAGCTTCCAATAATCCTAGCGTATTCTACTTGAGAAATACACTCTCCACGATTTTTGGTAAGTTGTACGTTTTTATCTAATGGAGTAATTGCCTCTTGATAATCATCCTTATTAAATTTCGTAAGGATTTTATCAACGTAATGGGATTGGCTTAACGTAAGACCGTCAGGTCCTCTAATTATTTTAATCCCAAGGATTAAATCGGCCAGCCCCATATCCTTCATGTTAAATTTAGAATTTAACATGCTTTTGGTAGAATTAATCATTATATTATTGCTACCCACGATGAGTATATCATCCACGTATAAACATAAAATGACACAGCCGTCTACCGTGCTCTTCACATAGACGCATTTGTCACTTTCGTTTATTTTAAACCCATTAATTAACATTGCATGATCAAACTTTTTGTGCCACTGTTTAGGGGCTTGTTTCAATCCATACAATGATTTAATTAATTTACACACTTTCCTTTCTTGGCCTGGAACACGAAAGCCCTCGGGCTGTTCCATATAGATTTCTTCGTCTATATCGTCATTTAGAAAAGCGGTTTTTACGTCCATTTGATGAACTTCCAATTTCCGCAATGCGGCAATTGCTAGTATCATCCTAATGGAATTTATTCTCGTCACAGGAGAATACGTGTCGAAGTAATCATGACCCTCACATTGCTTGTATCCTTTGATTACAAGTCTGGCCTTGTACTTATCGATGGAATCGTCCGGTTTCATTTTCCGTTTAAAAATCCACTTGGATCCCAAAGGTTTATTTCCCGGAGGAAGATCAACCAATTCCCATGTGTGATTTTTAAGGATAGAATCCACCTCACTTTTGATGGCTTCATAAAACGTATTTGTTGCCTCCCACGGTGCTAGGAGCGTTGCAACAATCGTTTCCCAGGATACGATGACTACGAACTAATGTTTGAGCACACAAACAAGAGTTCCAGCGAACGAGAACCAAGTATGAACACAGAAGGAATTTTGCAGAGTAGCTGTAGGTGTTTTTAGCTCAAGAAATTCGTGAGGAAAGTATTGTGCGTTGTGTCAAACTGTGTGTTTGTTGCAAAGCACCTGCCATCTATTTATAGGAGGATTTGTTGTGTGTTAAATGGGGTGTTAATGGACCTGAACGTTGGACATCAATGACCAGTCCGTTGGGCATTGAATCGTCCATAAACTGTCCATTTAACGCAGCACTAAAAGAGAAGAATTGGAGGGTTTCTGTCCGAAGCCAGCAGAACACATGTTGGAGGGTTTCTGTCCGAAGCCAGCAGAACACCTCTTGGAGGCCTTCTGTCCGGAGCGTATCTCTGGAGAGATAGATTTTTGGACAACATTCGTGTCCGCAGGTCGCCCGCGCACACGAGTCGCGGTTTTTCTTCTCCGTTTCGGGATTTGATCGACACCCCCCCTGCGCGTAAGAGAGAGCCTTTCCCTTTAGGAATCTTAACTCCTTAAAAGAGGCTTCCCTTTATAAGGGGGTGAAAATCCCTTGAGTTTTCGGTGTGGGATAAAACACACTAGAAACTCATCATTTTTCCCAGTTTTTCCATTTCAACGAGTGAACTTCGAGAATCAATTTCTCATTCACCCGTTATGCGTTTTGAGTGTACCACATATCGAATTGTAGCCCTTAACAAGGAAAATCCGAAACCACTTTGACCCGACCCAAATCGGAAGTGGACCCCACTCAAATAATTGCCCCAAAATGACCATTTAATGCAATTTTTAACACATTTTCCCAACAACTTGAAACTTAAACTGTACTTCTTAGTAGTAGTAGTAGCTCTAATCACCCTCCACATTTATCCGGATGTGGAAAACCGACACCTCGGATTACTCCCGAGATGCTCACTTCTTATGAAAATGTAAATTTTATCTTCGTTTAAACAATACTTCAAAAATACTCCTTAATTTCTCTAAAAAGTCTTGAAGGTATTTAAAAATATTTAATACCCCAAAAGTACTTGATTTATATTTCTTAACTACCATATATATAATATCTCCTCAAAATCACATACACAAAATTCACATTTCACACTTAATCACATAATGCATAATAAACATATAATACGAGGAAACAATTTTGGATTGGCAGAGAAACTTACAATTTAGGGTTTATCCAAAACTAGTTCCAAAATAGTATTTAATACCATATTCAAAATAATCCAATAAGGATATTTATAACTCCAGAATATATATGTAAATTTTCATACCAAATTATACATTTAAAAATATATAATTTATCCCAAAAGATTTGATCTCACAACACTTTCTAAAAAGAGGGTTTAACCCAAACAACCACTTCCCAAAAGTAGCATTTACTACTACCACCAAAATAATCAAATTGGAGTATTCTGAACCCATAATATATTTTCAATATAACCAGTTATAATAGTCTCAAATCATTCTTCAACTCATACCAAAACAATTACAAAAAATTTCTAATCCCAAAAGAACAATCATCATAAATCACAATTTTAGCCACGATAAACTGATTTGATAAATTCACTAAAAATCACACGTTCATAAATTCCCAGAAAAGCATACATCATCATACTCATACTATTATAGCCGAATTATCCATAAAATTTCAGAAAGAAACTCAAATCATAGCACAAACCCTAGTTTATACAATATAGGGGCAAAATAGTAATTTTGGTTGCAATATTCCTTACCTCGAGGCTAGCAACGAATCCTAAACGTCAAACCTAGTTTGATGGATCATTCGCACGTACCTAGGAAGTGATAGGTTCGAAGGATCTCAATTTAGGAGAAAGAAATTTAGGAAACGGATGAACGACGCGAATTGGGCAACAAACGCACTTACCGGAATATTGGATTATTTGATCTCATCATTGGCATAAAATTTCGTGCTGGATACGTTAATATTGAAGAGCTGGAAGGGATAGAGCTTGAAGAGGCGGTCCTAGGGTTTTTTGAATGAGGAAAATCGGATTAGGGATGTATTTATAGTGAATTTCCGAAGTTTGAGTTGCATTAGGATACAACAGGAACGCACGCGTGCGTACCCCGTGCGTGACCCCCAGACGCCCCAAACCTTAGTTTTTGCCCCGTTTCTTCCCCATTTGGACCTCCCCTTTGTCCCAAACACTAAACCAAACATAATAAACGACCTAAAGACCGTGTAAACAATATGAAACACAATTTTAATTATTTCCCAAATTCTCTCAAATTTTCGGGGTATTACATGCAACTATACAATTTACTAATTTAAGTTGATATTTATGGTATGTTTAATAACGAAAATCTATGAAAAATTAAATAAATCCACTATTCATGGAAAACATCACGTAGTTGTCCAAAATGTTAGGCTGCAGTGCATTAACTAGCGTAATTAATTGGTAATGCTTTTTACAGTTCTATCATTATTACAATCCTTACTACTCTTATTAGAATTGCCATTTGAAGTTCCATTTAATTGCCAAGCTACCACCATTAATTATAACTAATCTTGATCTTTGATTTCATATATTGAATGGTTAGATTTTATTCTCATTTCTCTCCGGTGAGTCCTTTCTCACCGGAGCTATTCTGTTGCACATTTTCAATTTGCTCGAATTAAGCCTATATTAAATAAACACGATGATATTTTGGTAAATATTGTGAAAATGTTAAAAAATGCAATATACAAGTTTCAGTGTGCAACACGTTGAGGTAAATGTGGTGTTCTCACGTTGTCACGACAAGCACTGTTCTCATTTGATCTTTATTCTCTCTCTCTCTCTCTCTCTCTATATATATATATATATATATATATTGTCTTGAAGATATGTTTGAGAGTAGAGAGAATTAGAATCTTAGAGTAGAAGACAATAGGAGAATTGATGTGTAGGAAATTTATGAAACTGGAGAAGGTATTTACAATTTTTTAATCCCACCCCATCCACGCCCAAGTCCCCCCAAACTCCTCAATCCCAACCCCAACAACTATATAGCCATTTATAGTCGTTCCAATGGCTATAACCCCTCCCCCTACCCACCTTGACCATTGGGAACCAGGACCGTCCCCAAAATCAAAACCGTGATCGGTATCAGCTAGTATCCGCTCGGGTATCTAGTCTGGTCCCGCACAGTACCCTATGTGTGTGTGACCATAGAGCGGATATTTTTAGGTGTTGTCTTCATTCTAAAAATACAGAGTAGTACAATACGACTTATAGATATTTTTCTTCTTGTTAGCACTAGTATTATATTTAAAAACAATATAGTAGTATTGATCTATTGTTCAAAAGAAGCATAGAAGAAGAATGAACAAATTAAAGATTAGCTTAATTAACTACCGTTAGACAATGAACTGATTCCATCACCTAATTTATCATATACTAGTACTAATCACAAATAGTCAAGTCTTACGGTCTTTTCGTAATGTGTTTTTTGGAAAAGTTATTATACGGATTGAGGTTTTGGTCATAAATCATAATTACTAAAATAGGTAGTACTCCCTCTGTCCCTCAATATTTTGCCAAGTTTGATCGACACAAGAATTAATAAAGTAAAAATTGTGTGGTTAAGGTTTGTGGAGAGGAGGAAGAATTAACTGAAACCACAAATTCTTTATTTAAAAGGGAAAGTGGCAAAGTTAGTTAGAAGTAATATTAACCTTTTGTATCATAATATTATCAGTACCCTTTGAATTTTTATTGTTGGTACTATTTTCTCTTCCCATCAAAAGCTATCTCATTTAATATATCTATCAAATTAGATTAATTTTGACATGACCCGAAAGATAGATGAATTATCAATTCGGGACCTAAAAGATGAGATCTATCGGTATAGGACCCGAATTATGAAAAACTATCGATCTAGGACCTAAAATTTCATAGGTTTTGATTTATTTAATTTTTTATTAATTCCATTGCTAATTTTTGATAAACTTTTCTTCACAAAAGTTTATTAGTTTCATAAAACTAAATATTATTTAAAAAATTTAAGATAAAAAAATTAATAAAATTTCAGACAACTTAGGTCCTAAATAATAGAGTAATTATAAGGACTTGTGTGTAATTACTCTAAATATTATTAGTATAAATACAATGCTAGGGCTACCTATGAGGTAAGCTATTCCAATCATTATTATTTTATCACATGGTATCAGTAGCCTAGGCTTTTCTCAACAAACCCTAGCATATTATGTCTTCCGCCGCTGAACACCCTACGACGCTCGCAAGCATAGCGGTGCAGCCGACTTCCGGCGTCACAACGCAGCTTTCCAGTGCGGCTTTAGCAGCTGTTCAGGCGCCCGTTCGACTGGAGCAGCCTACATCTTCCGGCGTAACCTTCTCAACGCAACTCTCTGCCTCACGCCTTGCTTTGTCGCCGCCTCCATCCTTGGGATCATACCGTCTGTTCAACATGCTGGAACCTTTTTCATGGACACCTACAACAACTCATATGATTCCACAGCCTCCTGCAGCGGCGTCTTCAACACCGACAGCTCCCAGTGCCATACCGTACTCGGGTCCGACCTTCTCCGGGCAGCCTGGTCTCTCGCCGTTCGATGCTCCTTCACAGCACCTACAGCCGGGGTCAACTACGGTAACATTATCCACCTTGTCCAATCAATTATCTTTCTCCACACCAAATGTTACAAATATTGTCACCACCCGATTGGATGCGGTTGAGGATTATTTACCATGGCATACACAGTTTGAGTCTTTTTTAGTCTCTCATGGTCTATTAGGCATAATTGATGGCTCTATCCCTGCACCGCCAAAATTCAAGTTTGATAATTTTAATAGAGAGGCTTCCAACCCTAAATATCACTCCTGGCTTAAAATTGATCAAACTGTGCGTTCATGGTTATTTGCTACACTTTCCCGGAATATTTTACTTGAGGTACATACTATTCGTTTTTCTGCTTTGATTTGGGAACGATTAGAGATTAGATTTATGGCGGCTTGTGTAGCACGTTCTATGGAATTAAAAAGGTTGTTAAGTGCTCTAAAGAAAAAGGAGGACCAATCAATGGATGGCTACTTACGTGAAATTATTGTTTTGACTGATGTTTTAAATGCAATTAATTCCCCGGTTAGCAACCGTGAACTTCTTCAGACTACCATCGAAGGACTTGGTCCCGAATATGAATCTGTTATCACCTCTGTCACCTTATTTCCGGATAGCTTCACGCTTGATACACTTCGTCCGCAACTCATGGCTTTGGAACAACATGCGTTATTTCTCCGGTCTCACAATTCACATCCGGGTCACCAGGCGTTTGCTACCGACTTCACTGCTGCCGCACATCCTCCAGATCATGGTAATGCGCCCTCGCGAGGTACTGGCCGTGGGTATCGTGGTGGTCGAGCTCGTGGTCATCGCGGACGAGGCCGAGGATATGGCGGGCAGCCTGGACACAGCTATGCTCCACAACCGGCGTTCCAGTTTGCTCGACAGCAGCAAGGTCCTTCCAATGGACAGTTTCTTTGGCAGCAAGGACCTCCTCCGGTGCGTGGTGTTGCACAGGCTGGGTATCAAGGTATGGCTAGTAATTTTGGGCCAATTTTACATAGTATTAATGCTTTATCTTCTTGTGTTACTCACCCTTACTTTGCAGGATTCCCATCTGTTGAGCAAAATTATCAATCACCACCACCGCTTGTAGTCTGTTGTCAACTTTGTTTTTCCCCAGGTCATTCTGCCATGTCATGTTCACATTTCACAGGATCTTCCACCCCGGCACTGGCGGTTATCCCCACGGGTGAAACAAACGCTGCTGTTTGGTACCCTGATTCCAGTGCATCTGCTCATATGACCCCGAATGAAGGTATTTTAACTAGTAAATCTGTTTATTCTGGTCCGTTATCTGTTCGTGTTGCTAATGGTCACCATATCCCTGTCTCACATGTTGGTAATGTTAGCTTATCTACGCCTACTCGCCCGCTTATTTTAAAATCAGTCTATCATGTTCCGCACCTACATTATAATTTGTTGTCCATTCAATGCTTGTGTGCGGATAATGATTATTCTGTTATTTTTAATAAAAATTCTTTTTTTGTTAAGGACAATCACACGGGAGCCATACTCCTTCAGGCAACCAATAAAGACTCCGTCTATCCATTTAAAGCAGCCTCCCAGCCACTTTCATCTCTTGCCTTAAAGACACATCTTGTTTCAGGTCCGGTCTGGGATAACCGTCTTGGTCATTGTGGGGATCGTATTTTATTATCTCTTAGGAAAAATAATTTAATTTCTAGTACTAGTAATTTTTCACACGATTGTGTCTCATGTAAACTGGGCAAGTCCCATCGTCTTCCTTTTCAAGATGTTATTCATAATTTTACTGCACCATTACAACTTATTCATTCTGATGTTTGGCAATCGCCTGTGTTATCTCATTTAGGATTTAAATATTATGTCTCATTTATTGATGACTTTTCTAGATTCACTTGGGTTTATCCTATGCATAACAAATCTTAGGTGTTTACTCACTTTTGTCATTTTCAAAATCTTGTTGAAAATTTATTTGATTGCAAAATTAAATGTTTTCAAAATCATTTTCTAAAATGTGGTATTCTTTTTCGCAAATCTTGCCCGGATACACCTGCGCAAAATGGTGTGGCTGAACGTAAGCATCGCCACTTACTTGAGTTGGCTCGCACCATGCTTTTGGAAGCGAAACTACCTCCAAGTTTTTGGGTTGATGCTCTCTACACGGTAACATACATTATTAATCGTTTACCCTCCACAATTTTGCGTGGTTTGTCTCCGTTTGAGATTCTTTTTCACAAATCTCTTGATTATGATTTTCTTCGTGTGTTTGGATGTGCTTGTTTTCCCAACTTTGTTGCTAGTTCTTCCAACAAACTTTCCCCACGATCCATTATGTGTGTGTTTCTAGGCTATGCTCTGGGGTATAAAGGCTATCGTTGCCTTAATCCCCGCATAGGACATGTCTACATAAGTCGGGATGTCATTTTTCATGAGACCTCTTTTCTATATCCTGACTTGTGCGCCCACAAACCCTACTCCAACCCACCTGCCATACCACCGTGGACCTTACCCACTGCTCCCTTGGTTGTTCCCACGTCACCGAGCCCTAAAGCCCCACCATATTCTTTCCTAGAAAACCAACCTCCTACTTCTCCAGTTAATTCCCAGTCAGCCTCCCAGACTTCACCCTCCCCTGCCGATACCTCGCAACCACAAACACCAGCCGTGCCCTCACTGCCCTCCAGCCCATCCTCATCCACACCTTCACCAATACTAAACCCGTCTCCTCAGTAGTCCGTACCAGTAGTTTCCTCTCCACCCGCAACACCTATGGCTCCCAATGTCCATCCCATGCGCACGAGAGCTAAAGATGGTATTTTCAAACCCAAATCTATTTTCACGTCAAATGATTTAGCTCTCCCTAATGATCCTACTTGTTTTTCTCAAGCTAATAAAAATATAATCTGGCGGGCAGCCATGGCTGATGAATTTAATGCTCTCATTTCTAATAATACTTGGGATTTAGTACCTTTTGACCGAACAAAGAACGTGGTCGATTGTAAATGGATTTACAAAACTAAATATCGTTCTGATGGGTCTGTTGAGCGTCATAAAGCTCGTTTGGTAGCTCAGGGGTTTAACTAACAGGCTGGAGTGGATTTCTCTGAAACGTTCAGTCCGGTAGTAAAACCTACCACTGTTCGTCTTGTTTTATCTATGGGTATTTCTTTAGGCTGGTCGGTTCGGCAATTAGATGTGAAAAATGCTTTTCTTCATGGTTCTCTCACTGAAGAGGTATATATGCGCCAACCACCAAGATTTATTCATCCTAATTTTCCATCTCATATTTGCCGTCTTCGCAAAGCACTATATGGCTTGAAGCAAGCTCCAAGAGCTTGGTTTCATCGTTTTAGTGGATTCTTACTCTCTCATGGTTTTTCACAGAGTTAGTCTGATTCATCCATGTTCACTTATCACTCTGGGTCTCGCATTATTTATGTTCTGTTATATGTGGATGACATTCTTATTACTGGTAGCTCCTTGTCCTTGGTCAACCACTTTATTCATTTACTATCTAGCACGTTTGCCATGAAAGACCTTGGGGGCATTCACTACTTTCTAGGAATCCAAGCCAAACGTACCACCAAAGGTATGTTTATATCCCAACAAAAATATGTGTCTGATCTTTTACAGCGCTTTCATCTTCACACGGTCAAACCTGTCAAGACTCCCTTACCTTCCCGAACTACCTTATCTATCTCGGATGGGGATCTACTTAGTGATGGTACTGAGTACCGCAACATGGTAGGTGCATTACAATACTTGACTATTACTCGACCTGATATTACTTATGTCGTACATTTGGTCTCTCAGTTTATGCATGCCCCATGTACTACTCACTTTGCTGCTGTCAAGAGAATTTATAGGTATTTGCAGGGTACCTTGTCCCATGGACTATGGTTACGTTCCGGTCAGAGTATATCAGTGGTGGTGGCATATTCAGATGCTGATTGGGCTGGATGCCCGGATTCTTGTCGATCTACTACTGGCTATGCAGTTTTTCTTGGTGGCAATCTTGTCTCATGGCGTTCCAAGAAACAACCCACTGTGTCCAAATCATCCACAGAGGCTGAATATAGAGCAGTTGCATATACAGTTCAGGACACCTTGTTTTTTCGGTCACTTCTCATGGACATGGGCATCCGCATAACTTCCCGTGTCCAGCTATATTGTGACAACGTGTCGGCTTCTTACCTGGCTGTTAATCCCATTCAGCATGACCGCAGCAAACATATCAAGATTGATTATCACTTTGTACGTGAACGAGTTGCACATGAAGATCTGGTTGTGAAATATGTTCCTACTCAGCACTAGTTAGCAGATATTTTTACTAAAAATTTATCTACTCAACATTTTGAATTTTTACGTTCCAATTTGCACGTGATTTCCTCTGCACAGATTGAGGGAGTGTAATAGAGTAATTATAAGGACTTGTGTGTAATTACTCTAAATATTATTAGTATAAATACAATGCTAGGGCTACCTATGAGGTAAGTTATTCCAATCATTATTATTTTATCACACTAAACTGATAATTTCCAATTATTCAAATCCTAAATAGATAGTTTTCCATCATTCGGGACCTATATCGATACATTTCATCGTTCAGGTCCCGGATTGATAATTCATCCATCTTTCGAGTCACGAATTGATAAAATTCCAAGAAAAAATAGAGAAATTAATCAACTCTCAAAAGATATAAAAACACATAGTTAAAGTAGCAACTAGACCCAAGATGTTTTTAATTGAATTTGAATTTTCTAATATGATCTGACAAACATTTGTTTTATATGTATTTTATTATTTTTAAAATTTGATCTGATCCGATTTATTCAAGTCTAGCTCGACAGATAAATCGATCCAAGTAAAAGCATTCCGAGAGCTTGGACATTTTGGACTGCAATTCGATCTAAATTTAATGCACTGCAATCTAACATTTTGGACAACTACGTGATGTTTTTCATGAATAGTGGATTTATTTGATTTTTCATAGATTTTCGTTATTAAACATACCTTAAATATCAACTTAAATTAGTAAATTGTGTAGTTGCACTTCTATTCCAATCAATTTGCACTTTCAAATCATGAAGGGTGCACTTGTCCTCAATAAAAGAATACAAAAATGTTGACGTGCACTACCAATAATGCACACTTGATACAGAATCTCTGCAATAATATACTCCCTCCGTTTCACAATCTTTGACACAGTTTGATTTCTCAAGAATTAAATAAAAATGTTACTGAGGGGTAAATTCTACTGTAAAGTACACTGTTTGGCACTATTTGAACATTGTTTGGCACTGTTTAAACAATGTTTGACACTGTTTGACACTGTTTTGCACTGTTTTGGTAAAGATTTGTTTACCAAATAAGGAAATAAGGAAGTGTGTCATTGACTATGAAACAACCAAAAAAATTAAGTGTGTCAAAGATTATGAAACAAAGGGAGTATGTGTTTTCCGGATGCTTTAGAAATTTATTAAATGTGCATAATTGAACAAGTACATGTGCACTTTACGGAAAAGCATAGTAATTAATCTAAAATAATTTATAGATGCACTATTATTCAAAATTTGAGCATCAATAATTCCATTGATTGTTCACACATATTTTATTTTCAAAAATAAAAAATACATCATAGTTATAATCATTCTTTTATAAATGACTCAATCAATTTGTAAACTATAAAGTCAATTAAGTATGCACTTTTCATATTTAACGATGCACTTATTGGGGGTGTTTGGTTAATGGCATATCAGCTGTTTTTTGGCTGTTTTGACTAATAATTGGCCTTTTGACCAAATGAAACAGATAACATGGGTGTTTGGTAACACAGTTTTTTGTTTGGCTTTTTATCAAATCAGCCAAAACTCAAAAAGCCACTAAACATAGCGTTTAGGCATTGGCATTTCCGTTTATCCTTCGATTTTCCTTATTTGCCCGCACCTTCTCTTCCCATAACTGTACAACTTCCTTCTCTAATTCAATCGACCCAACCTCTATTGTTTTCATTCCCAGCAAATCATCGGACAAGCATCTCCGTGCTTTTGCAGTTTGCTCAACGTTTGTACTGCCCCTGGTAATCAACTCTGTTTTAAATTTTTCATCTTTTGACTGAATATTGATGTAGTTCACTCGACTACCTTGCAACTTTATTCCCTCTACTAGTTTTTACATTTTGCTACTATTTCATTCCATGTAATTCTTTCCCGTTGGTAATTTGCTTGGCAACACTTTCTTCCAGGCTTGTAAAATTATACTCCATATGTTCAGGAAAAAAACATTGTTAAGAGGCCCCAAATAAAATACTAAAGAAATAAGTTTATAAATCCTTGTGTCAGATTAGCTAATGAATGAATCTCATCTTTTAGTGTATTACTCAGTTGAGTGACCCGGATCCTAACCTCCTATGGATTCTAACATGCATAGTGGCGTGCCTTGAGATTTGTTAGAGCGAGGCACACTAGACACTAAACTTAATCTATAATAAAATCTCCAAATGTAATAAAAATGGTAAAAAAATGTATTAAATTATATGGAATAGTTAATTACATATTAAATAGTTCATTATTGCAACTTTGATAAATCAAGCCTACGACTTTTCATATTCTGAAAATGTTGAATAATAGTTTCATTATGAATGATTCTAAAAACATCTATCTCGATGTAGCACACCAAGCAATCCGTAAGATAGTCATCTCTCATCTTATTGTGAAGATCTTTTTTGAGAATATTCATCGCAGAGAAGGCCCTTTCAAATGTGACTGTTGAAACTGGTAATACTAAAGTCAACTCAATCAGACAATATACCAAGTGAAAAGAATTGTGAACTTTAAGCTCAACCATCTTTTTACAAACTTCACCAATAGTTTGTACGACAGAAAATAATTCATTTTTTCTCATTTCATATATCCACACCTGGAGTTGATCTTTCAGCTCCATTCGATCAACAGATGAAAAATCGCATGAATATAACTCCGCAAGATTTAGTAGCTTTGACGCACAAAAATTGGAGAACTTATCTCTAGGATCAAGACATGCTAAACTAATGAGTAATTCTGTGTTTGACTCACTAAAGCGATTCTCCATCGCAAGACAAATTTATCCAAACTCATTTTCCTAATAAAAAAGACAAATACAATTAAATCTAATTAAATCAATGTCCGCATCCTAATTATTTCACTAAATTAAAAGAAAAACTTTTACAAATTAGAACCATAATCCCTAATTAGAGCGCATTCACAAATTCGAACTATCAAATTTCAAGTAAACAAATAATCCTCAATATTCTTGATTATTAATGATTTTAATTTTTAAAATAAACCCTTGTGGCAACGAGATATTGGAAACAAACTTACAAATCAAGGAAATATGGAACGATTGAGCGGTGCGGCGGTGCAGCGCCAATTCAGCAAGACAGCGAAATCCGCAGAGACCAGAGCCAAGGCAGCGACATCCCCTAAACTCGTAATTCGTAAACTGTCCGTCAGGTTTTATTTTTGTAGAACTTCCACTTTTTTCATTCTAGTCTTCCAAATGTTAGTGGGTTTTGTTTTTAGACTTTTAATAGTTTTAGCTGCCTGCACATTGTAGCTACTTTTTTTGCATTTTAACTTTTTTTGTTACTTGTTGTTTTCGACCCTTAGTAATTTTTTTTTGTTTTTCGATAATTTTATATCTTTTATTTTAATTCAGCTAAAATTTAAATATTTTGTATTAATTTTTTATTATATAACTGTAACATTTTAGTATCTTAATTATCAAATATTAGTATGAAGCGTAGACAGTGATTTTTACCTAAGTGGTACTAGTGAAATTCGGGACCCAAAGCGGGGCACATGCCTCCCTTAGCCCCCCCACTAGGTCCTCCACTGCCGTGGGCGGTATCGTGGTTATAGGTTATGAACCCACCCGGATCCAAATACTGAGTCGGTTTTCAAGTTGCTGTTGACCTCAGCAAAGACTATTCCCCATGCTTCAAGTAGGCATAAAATCGTATTAATTGCCTTTTCATTTATGACAAAAAGAAAAAAGAGGACTACCTCAATGACTCAATCTATCCAATTAAACTATATTAAAGAGACATGATCCTTTGACACTTAAATGCACATAAAAAAACTTATTATGCTCGTATATATAAACACAGAGACGAACATAAAACATCTGGCATGCAGTGGCTAGTTACCAAGTTTTTAACACTGAAAAAAATGCAGAGCTCTCCTTTAGGAACTCCATTCACTAGTGCAACAACACTTACTCAAAGCGGGTTAAACCATCTCCCGCAAAGCTATGTAGTCCCACCGTCACAACGCCCAGACTGCACCCTAAGCACCACCCATCCCTCTAACCATAACTTGCCCCTCATTGATCTTTCCTCCTTGAAACATCCTCTTCTTCGCTCTCAGGTTGTTGAGAAAGTCGGTATTGCCTGCAAAGATTTCGGTTTCTTCCAGGTACGTGCAAACCTACTTGTAATATATAAAATTCTGAAGTAAACCATAGGCATATATGACAGCAAGAGACTCGTTGTGTCTTCTAGGGAGAAAACATGTCAAAGCAGAGGCGGAGCAAGCGGGATCCCACCAGGGTCCCAAGCGCAGTCATTTTTTACATGCAAATTATTATCAGTACGCGTCTCATGCAAGTTTTGATCTCGGTGAGTCCTGCCTCCATACCTAGGTATGTCCAAGCATCTTAGATAGCAATGGTGTTGGACTAGAACTTGAGTATAAAACCAAATCTCAACAATATTGCTGCCTCATGATACTTTCTATGCTGTTTCATTGCATTGTTCTTTCGTAAGCAGTGAAGACATCTAATGTAAAAAAGTGTCAAAGTGCTTATGCTTATTTACCTAGTGTAAAAGTGTAAAAGTGTAAAAGTGTCATGAATTCATAATGATAACTAATTTTAATCATTTGTGTCTATGGTGTGCTTATGCTTCTTTACCCTGTTATCCACCTCTTCAATAGCGTTTTTTTTTCTCAAATCAAACGCATGCCGCATACTTCATCTTGAGTATTATTGGTACCAGCAATTGAAACTTGTACATCTACGGCATGCATCATAGCTCCAGACCAATGTAACAATGTAAACATATTGAATGCATCACATGCAGGTCATTAACCACAACATCCCACCTTCAGTAATAAATGGCGCCTTAGATGCAGCAAAGGCATTCTTTAATATGTCAAGTGAAGAAAAAATGCAGCTGATGTCAGATGATGTTTGGAAACCAGTGAGATATGGCACCAGTCTTAACCATGTCAAAGATAGAGTCCACTTCTGGAGAGACTTCATCAAACAGTATTGCAATCCAATCTCTGAATGGATTGATTTGTGGCCTTCAAACCCTGCATGCTACAGGTGAGCTTTTATATCATTTTTCATTCACAACAACCCATGCATGCTCTCCCATTCTTTCATCTTGTCTTCTTCCTTTTCACTTTTATACACTATTCACTATCGCTATGACATTACCTGTATTTTCCGTAAAAACCCTACTAAGGTGGGTAAATGTAAATGGAGGGAGAAATATATTTGATACACAAAAGAAGAAAACTCAAGTCTTTCAGGAAAATGTCCATCTATGCCAATAGGACAATAGGTTGTAGCTTAGTGGAATTCATCCTCCCTATCTCAGATACCACACAAGGGTTTGATTCCTATTGGCACCTCACTCCCCTATGGACTCAAATGAATGTTTTCATGACGTGTTGTTGTGAACATGTGATACCCCTGCTTCCCGCTGCAGTCTACGTGATTCAGTACAAAATTGTTTTGAAAAATAAAACATGATAGTTTTTTTTTAAATGTTCATATACTTATATACTCCGTATTTTTTAGTGTTTATATCATAGACATTAGTAAATACATAAAATAAGCTTAAAAACTATCTATAAAGAATTAGGACAAATTATGTCCTATTCCAATTTTACTCCATATTTTATTCCCCTGGTACTTTCTATATCCCGAGCCAGCCGCAAAGAACCAAGGAAAATATCTCCGCTCTGGGAAATCTATTGTTTCAGGGAAAATATGTTTTGTAATGGAAAATCAGAAAACATTTCCAGGAATAAAACTTCATGGAAACAAATGGAGCCTAAGATGCATGCAGAAATCATTGTCAGCATTCAATTCGTCACATATGTAACTATCCTCAGCATTGTCATTAATCATCAAGCACGTAACACAACTTCTCTAATACAGGGAGCAAATGGGAAACTATGCAGAGGCAGTGCATGAATTACAAAAGACGCTAATGGAGCTAATATTCGAAAGTTTAGAGTTACAACCTACTTACTTAAAAGAAGACATTGAGGACGGCTCCCAAGTCATGGCTGTAAATTGCTATCCAGTGTGCCCCGAACCAGAACTTGCATTAGGCTTGCCACCTCATACGGATTACAGTTTGCTTTCAATCTTACTTCAAAACCAGCAAGGCCTTCAAATCCTGGACCGAGATAAGATATGGAATCCAGTCCCACTTATGGATGGGGTCTTAATAGTCCAACTAGGAGATCAAATGGAAGTACTAAGCAATGGGAAATACAAGGCAGTCGTCCACAGAGCTACAGTGAACTCAGAGAAGAGTCGCATTTCAATTGCTAGCTTGCACAGTCTGGATTTGGATAAAAAAGTAGGACCTGCACCACAACTTGTGGGTGAGAACAACCAATTACTCTATAGAGAAGGAAGCTTCAGTGATTTCCTTAACTTCATTTCTGGAAACGATATCACGGAAACAAGCTTCATAGACACATTGAAAATAGAAAGATGAAGGAGTCAAGTGAAGGATGGTGAGCAGGGAAAATTTTCTAATACTTCGTAATGCATTTATCTATGTGACGTACTAAAGAGGAGGCTCTTTATAATAACTTCATACATACATGTTGGAGTAATAAATACTTATTCACCAGCACTAGGTAGACAGCTGGTGCCTTCATCGTTATACCCAAATCCTTGACAGGCGCCAAATGGATGCAACTTAAGGGTCAGTTAACTTCTAAGCAGATGCTGTGGATGTACAATTAACAGTTAAAGTGTAGCTTTAATATAATCACTGAAACCATTGACACACTTTAATCCACACCCATCATTGCTGTGCCACTGGACAAGGAAAAAAGTAGAGTGAAAGGAGGAATATTCAAAACTATGTTGTCATCTTCAGACTACGAATCATTTTTCCTGTCTGGGAGTATCACTCCAATTTATACTTCGTAATAACTTTCTCCAATCACACAACTATGGGTGGCCAAACTAGGTTTGAGAGATTCAGCGCCTTCATCATGAACATGCTATATTTATAACAGCCAAACGCAAGAAGTCTATTGTCTTGAACTGAAACAATTTCAGAGTCATCGATATAACTGACCAAACTAGTTAGAATTGGAGTGAAAATTGACCATCATAAGCTCAAATTGAAGGAAATCGAACTCCTAGCTACTGGGCGTGTACTGAACACATGATGATTCTTACAGGGAAATGCAAACGCTTGAATCTGAGTTCCAATTAAACCATAAATTTCTAACCAATCGATATGATTCCGAGATAAGCAACCGTCGCTTTGACATTTTTTATGAATTAAAACAATTGCATTCGCCCTAAACCAATTTTTCAGAAATCGAATCCGAGAATGGAACTAAACGGAGGGAGAGAATAAATAAAGCTCAATATAAAATTATAAGGAGAAATTGCAGGACTCAACTGCATGACTGCATCGCTATAATTTAATTATCGCTCTACCATCGACCTTGCTTTTCTTTGCTGCATTTTCCTTTTCAGTTTGTTTAACGTCTCTTTCGGCGATCTCCTCCTAGATCCGCCCTCCGCCCATACTTCCGTCCTTTGCCAAGCACTTCGGCATAATTGTTCCACAGGTTCCTCCATCCCGGTATAGATGTCTGTGACTCTGTGTGAGGTCCTAGACCTTCAGAGTCCATCCCTCCACCTTATAAGGAAAGCACAGAGGGATTCCCCATTTCCTCATTGTTCTGGCGGAAGTTCGGAGGGATCCCGGGCTGAAATTCTTCTGCGGAACTGGACGCGAATTGGGCCATGAATTGCCAGCTGATCAAAACTATCAACGTTCCAGGCCTGAGCTGTGGGAACCATTCTTGTGCCAGCCCTCTGAGGGTGCTGAAGAACAGCCTAAATATGGCCTTATCGATGCTCCCAGCATGGAGAGCCCACATTGGAAGGAGAGCAGGTGGGCATTCGGGTCTCCGACCCCATTGTAGATTAATGCACCTGGCGGCCTGCAGTCGCGAGGGATCTCCGCCGCCATGATCCTAGCAGAAAATGGGGAGGTTAGCACGATTCTGGGCTGTGCCATGTTGTTCTCGCCAGGCGGTCCAACGATTCTGGGCATTGTATCACGCGGATCGGTGATTGGGGGTATAGGGTTCACCACCACTAGAGCATTCTCCGTTCGTACGGAACTGGTGTCCGGCTGCCTGTTGATGAAGTGGGCATCTTTCCCCTCCACGTACTGGAACCTCGGTCCCACATTGCTCACCACGAGAGTCGGCTGCCTGGCTAGGTGGTCGTTGCTTAGCATCACTGAGTATTTAGAAAATTGAGAGGTTAAATTAAAAATATTATAGAATAAAATATTTGAAAAAAGAGGAACTCTTCTCATTAGAACAACTCAATTTGTTTGATTTGCTTGATTCAAAGTGATGATAGAGAAGCTCTATTTATACTAGTACAAAAGCATATAGACTCTTCTATAATTAATGTATTCTAGATAATTCTATACAATTAATGATAAAAGAGTTTTAGAGATCATACTCCCTCCGTCCCTTAAAACTTTGCCATCTTTCCATTTTGGAACGTCCCAAAAAACCTTGTCATTTTCCTTTTTAATCAATTATTTTTTGGTTTCTGTTATTTCTCTTTCCTCTGCACAAATCTCAAACACACAGTTTTTACTTTATTATTCTCCGTGCCGGTCAACTTTATGTTCTACGGAAACTTTAGAATTTAAGCTTGGTTTGAGCGCAGGCCAAAAGGTGAAGGTGACTAGTGGACCCACCAAAACAAAAAATCTCATTTTTAATTCAAAGTTAAATAACTTTTTTATTTATACTCTTATTATTACAAAAAATACATCAAAATTCATAACTTTTTATTATCTTTTATATGACATCAAAATTGGATATATAAAATAAAAAATAATAATTTAACACTTTAAAAAATATATTTTTTGTATATGTTTTATCTTTTTGTGAGTATTCTGATTGTTAAAAAAATATATCAAAATTCATGACTCTTTGTAATCTTTCATAAGAAACTAATTCTGAATATATAGAAATTAAAAAATTTATTAATTAGTTTTGTAACAATAAGAGAGTTTTTTCCCAAAATAATGTTAAATAAAAATTCATCGTTTTTTATTTATTGTTTCTCTCTGTGCAGTTTTATTCTAATCTATCACTCTTGATAAATTGTGTCCACGGTAAAAAAAAATGATTCTAAACTGCATATATTAATAAATCTAATTTTTTAATTTTTATATATTCAAAATTAGTGTCTTATTAAAGATTACAGAGAGTTATGAATTTTGATATATTTTTTGTATTAATCGGAATACCAACAAAAAAGATAAAACATATACAAAAAAAGATGTTTTTTAAAGTGTTAAATTATTTTTTTATTTTTTATATATTCGATATTGATGTCATATGAAAGATAATAAAAAGTTATGAATTTTGGTGTATTTTTTGTAATATTCAGAATACAAATAAAAAAGTTATTTAACTTTGAATTAAAAATGAGATTTTTTGTTTTTGTGGGTCCACTACGTCACCTTCTCCTTTTGGCCTGCGCATTGCATGTTACGTGCGTTATTGGTAAGCCGTCGCTCCAAATGTCGGTTTTCATAATTTTTTGGGAAATATTTTTAACTAGATCTTAATTTGGTAAATACTTTTTTATTTAACATTATTTTTGAAAAAACAATCGAAAATCTCATCAAATAAAAAATTGAATTGAAAATGGGGAGTATAACGTACAATGATAAAAAGTCAATGCACATGTAAGAATAAAGGAAAAAATCAAGGGGCCAATTTGTGCGTGCAAATATTAAATTAAATAGGTGAATGACTACTTTGCCCATGATGCTTTAAACGTGAATAATAATTAAAATGATGAATCTAATGACTCAGGTCTATTCTTATTTCTCTACTAAGATAGGATTATTATTTGAATCAAAGTCCATATATATATATATATATATATATATATATATATATATATATATATATATATATATATATATATATATATGGCTGTTCTGGTGCGTCCGTCCGCAGGGGAAGCACCGTCCGGCCGATGGCATTTGGCTGTCTTCCCGGTGCAATTTTTTGATGAAATTTTTATGGCATGTTTTTCATCAAATCTAGTTTATCCACAAACAAATTAAGCTAAAAACTCAATCTGGAAGGTCTTCAAATGATTTTTTGAAGTTAACTGTGCAAAATTACACACAAAAAACGCAGTCAACTTCAAAAAATCATTTGATGACCTTCCGGATTGAGTTTTTAGCTGAATTTTTGTGTGCATAAACTACATTTGATGAAGAACATGTCATAAAGCTTTCATCAAAAAATTCTATCGGGAAGGCAGCCAAAAGCCGTCGGCCGGACGGCCCCTGTGGTGCGGCTGGACGCACATGAGTACTCCTCTCTCTCTCTCTCTATATATATATACATATATATATATATATATATATATATATATATAGGGAAAACTATCAAATAAACCCTCGAACTTTCATAAAAAGTGCAAATAAGTCCTTTAATAGGAGGCTTTGTCCGGACGTCACCATTTGGGGCGGTTTCCGATGGAATAGTTTGATGAAATTTTTGGAGTATCTTCTTCATTAAGTCTAGTTTATTCATACAAAATTTCAGCTAAAAATTCAATCGGGAAGACAGTCAAATGAATTTTTGAAGATAACTGCGCAGTTAGACAGCGCAATATGTTTCATAAAATCATTTGACTACCTTCTCGATTGAGTTTTTAGCTGAAATTTGGTATGAGTAAACTAGACTTAATGAAGAAGATTCTAAAAAAATCATCAAAAAATTCCACCGTAAACCGCCCCAAATGGTGACAGCCGGACAAAGCCTCCTCTAAAAGGGCTTATTTGCACTTTTTATGAAAGTTCGAGGGCTTATTTGATAGTTCTCCCATATATATATATATAATTATATATATATAATATTAATCATAACAAAAATATCTAATTAAGGCCAT